AAAAAATATAGTGAAGTTGCTACATTTGTAAAAATCAATAAGAATATAATAAAATTAAAGATATTTTTTTAATGTTTAAGATCATTGCCAATAATCTTTATCTTCTCTCTATTTTTTCTAACATTTTCTTTACTTAATAAAATTGTTTAATTCATTATCTTGGCTGGTAATACTACAACGAAACATCTCAACTCACGAATCATTTCAATAGTACAAATGTTGTCCCACAGGACACTAGGAACAACGGGTGAAGTAATGAAAAATAAGAAAATTCATGTAGTTGAACCATCTATTTTTTTTAAAATTAATTTGTATAAACATTTCAAAGCTTCGTAATTGAAAGAGAAAGGGGGAAAATGCTATAACGGTGATAATCTTTTCGTTTCATTTTCTAGTCTCGACAATGTGCTTTTCTACTGGCCTTTTTGGTTTAAATCATTATTTTAGTTCTACAAAAAAAAAAAAAAAAAAAAATATTTAGACATTAACTACAAAAGGTGATTCATATACGTGATAATCATGAAGCGTAACAACTAACAAGCAAGGTCTAAATTCAGATTAACGAAAAGTGACATGCTTTGTTATTTACAAAAAGTAAATCCACTTCAATAAAAATCTCCAAACAATCTGCTTAAGTAATAAAGTATATAAACAACTTGAAGAGCTAACAATTTCGATTAAGATATATAGTAAAAGAAGTTGGCAAGTTGTAATAGAAAATGAAGCAACTTGAGTTAGCACACTCACCAACCAACAAAATCACAAATATATTTTATTTAAATGAATGTGACAAACTTTGAGCAGCCTTATAAGGAACAGGACATAAATATTTGGTGCAAATAACTCACCACTGCATTAAAATAATCTATGGAGTACATCAAGCTATTTCAAAATGTGCAACATATTATATCATTATCTTCCAAATAATATAATAAATAAATAACCTCAACCCCACCTCTCGAAGCCCCACATTTTTTACTTCAAGTTGTGTTTATGATAAAGTGGAAAAAATATATATTTTATTTGCTGTCTTTATTAAAGATTGATTAGTATGTATCATGTGGAAGCTCCACAAAAATAGAGGGTAACAAAAATATAAAATCTATTACAAAAGTTTTTCTCTAACATTTCTATATAATAGTCATTTACTATAAAATCGAGCTTTTCTCGGAACCGATTATTATATTATGTTATAATATATGCCCTATATAACAACAATTCACTATAGCAGCCAAAAAATTTCGGAACAAACGAAATTGTTATACAGAGATTTGACTGTACTATGCTTATTTAATTTTCAGCTCGACAAAGATATAATGTACTCTATCTGTTCACCTTTACTTGTCCACAATGAACTTTGTACGTCTCTTAAGAAATAATAGATGAAGTGCATATTTTACCATAGTGTCCATAATAATTATAGTATTTTGAGAAATTTTGAAAAATAATTTGAGAAATGAGTAATTAATGATAATGATAACACATGAAAAAAAAAATTATTCTTCTCTTAATTTGTTAAAATTGACTACCTTGTAATGAAGCACATCAAGTTGACTACCATGTAATGAAGCAAAACAATATCCTAGATTAATCTCCCTTTTATAATTTGTATAAATAAATAAGAAAGGAAACCGTCCTACTCAATCTCTAAAATTAAACTATGTCTAAAAAGTATATGTAGATACACTACTATACTTCTTTTCACTTCTTGATACTTTCTTTTGGCTTCAACTTGATGTGCTTTATTTTTCTCATTCGACAGACAAAGACTAATGAAGATATTTAGTAACCAATAAGTGTTAATTAACATCGCTATCTCGTAAAACAACAAATGAAAATATGTTTAACGTACAAGTGCTTTTTACTAATTAAATCAACTTAGTTAACTAAAGTGAAAATTACTGCACTTGGAATTAGTGAGCAAGCTTTCAATAAATTATTATTGGAGTTGTGGTCCCTTTCATCATCCCAAGTCTCACACTACTAATAAATGCAATATTTTAGCCAAAGTTCAATCTTTCTTTGGAAAATATCTAAGCATATTAAGAAGATTCTACAAAGGATAAAAAGGGAACAAATTGATATTTATGTATTTGGTTCCTCCCTGAAACATATAATAGTACCTCATAGACAATGATTTTGGCTATCTTTGTAAAAGAAAAGACTGTTTTTTGAGGCATGAATCACATTGAAGAAAGTTTCACTTTTGTGATGATGGTTTTTGGTTTATTATATGATCATAATCAAATTCAGAATTTAAATTCGATGATTTAATTTTTATGTTCTTTTCACTGAATGTATTGCACTAATAAAATATGAGATTAGAATTTAATATGCACTAAAATTTAGTAATTTTTTATATACTTATTTAAATTTTGTGTAAAAAATACTGAGTTCAGTTAAACTCATAGAACCCATATTGCAACAGCCTCTGCTGATAAGGGTTATTGTTAATAGCAATAATGTCGAAAATAATGATTTTAGAATTGTCTAAGTGTGGCTTTGGTTCATTGATGATGACTATGGTAATTGCAATATATTGATGATAATGGTCTTAGAATCAGTTGGTGAAAACAAAAAGTCTTAGATTTAGCTTCTTTTTTTTCTTTCCAAAAATTCTTAAAATTGGTTGTGTGTTTTCTTTATTTTGAATCCTATGTGTCTTGGAGAATATATTCTCAAATTCTTACGATGTGGCAATTATTGAGGAGAAAGTTCTTGAAATACTCTTTTTTACGATCACTTTTGTGTATTAATCCATAACCCAAAAGATATTGTAATTCAGAGTATAAATGTCACTGCATTTTATTCATACTATACGAATTTTGAACTTTAATTCTTAATTTGATAGAAATACATATAATGTTTTCAATAAATTACGATTCAAAAATTGCAGTAAAAGTACCATATTTTTCAAAATATTCAAAAAAAGTTTAAATCAAGTAAAAGTAATTTACCTTCCCAAACAATATCAATTTTTCCAGCCAAATAAATAAATCTGAGAGAGGATTGCTGAATTGTTTTTTTTTTAATGAAGAAGATTGTTTAATACTTCTCCTAAGTGTAAGATAATGACTTCAAGTTTATCACTATGTTAAGTGGGATAAATTGTGGATTTTATCTCAATAATGTTTTTAATTGCTTTTATATGATTTATTGAATGCTTATTACCACTTTTTATAAAGTCCCCACTTAGTTAATTGCTTCTAAGTAATCAATCACAAAGTACAAAGGATTTTTTTAATTTACATCTTAAAATTAGACAATCGATTATAGTTGCAACAAAATGTAGATTCTCAAAAGCATTCTTTTTTTCCTTGCAAAATTGAATGGTATGACTTACAAAGTCAACTTATGGCTAGATCTTGTATTTGTATTGAAAATTTATTAAATGTATAAAAATATTTAATTCGGAATCCAGTTCGTTAATTCAGTTATTAATGTACATTAACTTGATATCGTTGTAGGAATTCCTAGACTTAAAATTTTGAATCTGCATTTGTACAAAGTTGTATTCTTTTTTTTTCTTGTTATTTTTCTTTTGTTTTTATATTTGTTTTGGACCAACAGACAAGACGACTATTAAGTTTTCCACATTTAGAGACAATTTAACTTAGAAGTTCTCATTGTACCTTTAAAGGATAATTTATAGCCATATAAATATTCAAAACTTAGTTTAGACCAAATTTTAAAAGTCTTTTTTTTTCTTAAATTTTGTCTCAAGTAGTACCACGTAAGCTGAGACGGAAAGAGTACCTAAGAATAACTTCATAAGTATTAAGTGCTTAAAAATACTTAAAATAGTTGAAACTAATTTTACAAATATTCAGTTAGTGTTTGAATAGAAGTTAAATTAAAATAACTAAAATATCATTAAACCTAATTATAGAAAATATGAATAAAAAATTATTAAAGATGAAAATGAACACGAAATTGGAATGAAGAGAATTTGAAAATTTTATTTTAGCAAAAGTCATTTAAAGATTACAAAAGATATCTAAGAATAAAACAAATGTATTGATCACATGGCCGAAGCTACAGTGTAGCAAGGTAGTTGGAAAATGTCGGAAAATGAACACCGTGTATATAGGTAAAATTTTGGATTTACATGCATGTAATACATATTGAACACCCTTGCAACAATGAAGATTCATAGCTCAGTGACAAAGGATAGTCAAGAGGGCCTCATGGGCGCGGGTTCGAGCTTCACTCTCCATAATTTTTATTTTTCTTGTACAAGTTTTAACATCATTAAAATATTTTCTAGCTTCGGCACGGATTGATCGCTACAAAAAATGCCAATAAACTAAAAAGAATTTTGCAAATTTTGGCTTTTCAAAACTTTCGATATTACCAATGCATTAAAGTGAAAAAGTGCAACTAACTTACTAAGTTATCTCCAAGAAAATGACCACCAAAGATTCTGGTGATATCCACCCATTCGTTAGAGTTCGTGTATTCGAGTTTGAGAACGTAAAAAGTTCTGCTAAAGAATATTGTTCCCCTGGATTGTTGTTAATTATCGTTTATCAATATATTGTATTATATTATACTATATTATTTTAATATATATAATATTTAAATATATTATACTATTATTTTCCGTCGTTTTATAAATTATATACCAATAATTTAAAGAATACACATATAATATTACAGAGAAAAAGTAGAATATACGATAAAGTTATTAAAAAAGTAAAGTAAAAAGTAAAATAAAATTATAATAAGGGCAAGAGCCAAGATGAGAAAAAAGTAGATAACCATGTGATCACACAAATAGCTACGTAAAATAGATCTTTTCATGTAATAAAATTAAAATAACAATCAAAGTAAATACTACTATTATATTAACGAGTCTTAAATTAATCTCTAAAGAAAACGAAATTTATTTGGAAGGAAACAAAGGAAAAAGGGGAAAAGGAGGGAAAGTTAAAATTTTATACGCAACATAAGAAAAGTGAAGATGAGCTGTGAACAACTCAAAGCTGCCAAATAGTACATACCAAATTCTCTCTTAAACAACATTGTCCATTGGTAAATTAGGAATAGAGTGAGTTATGGGGCTGTGAGAGAGTGACTGTGTTATTGAATCCTCCGTATCTAATCTATCAACTTGCTACTACTTAAACAACATTGGCATTTGCATTTTGTCAAAAAAAAACATAAACACTCAAAGCTACTGCTTCTCTTTTTCTCACTCTCCTTCCAAAAAAAAAAAAACACCACCAAGAAAGAGAAGAAATAAGGTATGCCCAGAGTACTTTTTCAAGAATTTAGAAAAAAAAAGGTACATTTTTTATACAACTTTTTTTTGTTTGTGGGGTTCATTTCTTTTTTTGGTTTTTGTAACAATTTTCTTGATATTCTTCCTTTTGCAATGTGTTTTTTGTTGCTAAAAATAGTGGTCAAAGTGAAGGAAAATCTTGAGGGTTTAGTGCTTAATCAATGGGGAATGTAGATTGTTTAGTATGCCTTATCTTGCTTCCTATTTTTTTTTTCCTTCTCTATATTTTGTATACATGCATTACTCCTTTTCTGCAATTTGGGTATTTTTGGTTTCTTGGTTTGCTGTTTCATAGAGGGTTTAATGGATGTTTTCAGAGTGAACTCAAAAGTCTTTCTGTTTTATTTTTCTCTTTTGCTCCCCAGGCTCATCAAAAAAATAAAATAGGCTGATTATTGTAATTTAATTGTAGCAATGAGCTTTAGTCTTTTGAGCAGTTTTTTTTTTTTTTGTAATGATAAGCAGGGAAACAAATTCAGATTATAAAATGTCATAAGCTCTTATGTGTTTCCAGCTATAGATTTTCTTGCGAAGACTTAACTCCCAACTGTAAAATGTTACACTTTTGCTTATTTTACTCTCCAATATAAAATTCTTGGATTTTCTGTTCTCATGGAATTTTTGGTTGATTTTTAATACTTTTTTTTTAATAAAATATAATTTCTAATTTTCATGTTTTGTAAAACTTTTTGTAGAATTTAGGTAATAAGATGGTGAAAGAAACATGGGAGAAAGACCTCTTGTATTAGATTCTGTTGTGAAGGAGTGAAAAACAAAATCATTAAGCTTTGATAGGGTCACTTAGTAGTTAAGCTCACCATGTCAAGACAAGCTCATCTTCCGCCTCGCTGCCCGTTTCAGAAGAAACCATTAACTAGTCCAGTTCAAGACCATTTTACCACAACACTACACCAACATAACCCGTTACCTCCTCGACATCATAAATCCATTTCGCAGAGTTCCATCTTAGAGGAGCAGCCTGCATGGCTTGATGAGCTGCTGAATGAATCGGACTCAAATTCCGGTGGCATGATGCATAGGAGATCAGCTAGTGATTCTTTGACACTTTTGGATGGTCTTGTTTCATTTGAAGGTTTTGATAAATTTGACGAAACTGAATCAAACGCATCTTGTGAATCGGATAGTAGCTCAAAGACTAATTGTATCTATGGTCCTAATTCGCCGCGTGGAAAGAGCAATATAACCTTTGCTGAGAATGCTATAGTTTCAGCGTTGTCGGAATATGTGTCCCCAAACCCTTTACAGTATTTAGATAGGTGTATTTCTGTGTCTGGAGCTACACAATCGGAGTTAGCAAGCAATGTGTCTGGTGCAGCTAATGATGTTAATGCTGAGGCAAAGGCAATGAAACGGTTAGATTCCGGACTCTTATGCTTATTCCAAGACTTTTCATTATTAGTTGATAATGTATTATCTATATCTGCTTTTCTCTTGTTAAATCTGTCTATATTTTTTGGTAAAGCAACATCATTCCAAACGTTTCCTGAAAATACGAGGCATGCACCTTATATAATTGCTAATATTTCTAGTCTGTGTTTTGCACAGGGTCAGCATCCTCTTGTATAAATACAAACTTTATATTGCTTATTTTATAGGAAAAAGCAACTGCCATTAGCATGATTTAGGAACTTAAAAAATATTATTTCAGTTTGGTTAAATGGCTACCATAGACACTAATAATCTCATTGACTTAGCTGCATAGAGGGAGCAGTTTGCAATATCTTCAAAAGACGTAATAATTGTGGTAACTGATAAAGGATACACATATTTTGAGTGTTAGTAATCTTCCCTTGTGTAGCTTGATATTCATGGTAAACTGACATTCTCCCTAAAGGACTTATGACTTGTAATGATGCACTTAAAGGGCTCATCTGACTTTAAAAAGATCAGCAAGGTTTCCATATGAAAAGGAAAATCCAGAAAACTCAAAGCGAGTTCCTTCATGAAATACTGTCCGTTTAATAAAGAATGTCTATTTCAAGTCTCACGAAATTAGGCATAAAATCTCGCTTTGCAGATGTCAGCTTTGTGAGACAAGTGATCCTGGATATTACCAACCTCTCCAAAAATGATGCCATTTTGGTCCCTTCTATCCTATGAAAACATCTTTCCACTTTGGTACTCAAATTGTTGAAATGCTTCTTACTCAGTGTAGGCATATAGCCAAACTCTTGCATTATTGTAAATTTGGTGTGCCTGTTAGGTCTTCTACACCAAATCTTGTCAGGAGGCATTTAAGGTGTTGAAAAGAAGGTTTATCATGCTCAATTATTCAATAAAAACGGCCTTGACAAACTCTTCTCCACGGGATCATAATGCTGAAAGTGTGCACCTATGTCTCTCCAATCCCTTTTACCATGCGGCTAACCTCTCCTTGCTCCTTACACTTTTTTCCCAATTTTCGTTCACTGGTTGATTAAATCGATGGATTTCATTTGCAAAGCTTACTGGCATAGTTAAATCATCTAGGCCACAAATAAAATACCAACCCACTGAGTAATCATTCTTTAAGCCAAAAGTTGCCCATGTCCCTAATTACTACTGGTACTAAAGATAGCATCAACACTCAATTTTCTTCGGGTATGCTGGGATTCGTGAACAAAAACACCTTATTATGTTCATGACCAATTGGATCCGGACATACCAGTAGGTAATAGAGGAGACTGCTGTGATCTATTATTCCCCATTATTATTTTTGCCAAACTTTTCTGGAAGTTGTCCCAACAATTTTTATTTTTAAAACTTTCCCAACTTTTATTACTACCCTCGGTCCATTTAAATGCCATTTTAGCCAAGCAAAATTTGGTCCAAAATAAGTGTGGTTTTAGGATACCAAGAAGTTACTAATTATGTATTTTCCAGATCCACCCTTGCTCCAATATATTATCTAAAAAGTATGAGGAGAGAAAAGGGTAATTTAGTCTAATAACCCTTACAATTAATGCCATTAAATGGTTTTCTTAATGGGTACGCTAAAACCTTAAACAACACTTATTTTGGACCGGAGGAAGTGATAAAATTGTGCACAACCTAAGAGTGCTCTAGTTTCATATTTGTTTTCAAGTCAGCCTATCTGGAGGATTTATGTCTTTCTAAGATGGTTTTTGTTTCTAGAGGAGTGTATAATACATGACACTTATTTGGGCAATTTGTATACAGGCATCCTGGACAACGGTCAAGGGTTCGTAAACTCCAATATATCGCTGAACTAGAGAGAACTGTCAACACATATGAGGTATTGCTATCATGTACTACCTCCGTTCCAGTTTATGTGAACCTATTTCCTTTTTGGTCCGTTTAAAAAAGAATGACCCCTTTCTAAATTTGGAAATAATTTTGCTTAAACTTACAATTCTACGCTTAATGAGAAACTTTTATAACCACACAAGTACTCTGGCCCCTTTTTGAATTGTTTAGGACCACAAATTCCAAAAGTCTTCATTTTTTCTTAAACTCCGTGCCCAGTCAAATAGTTTCACATAAATTAGAACGGAGGGAGTAGGAAATACTGCACTGTTACCATTTCTACAATATGACTTTTTCCCAAAGCCTTCCTTTAATGAATAGTTCATAACGTGATAACAGCACAGATTAAGGAACTGCAAAGACTAATCCGACTTTTCTTGTAAAACTAAAGTTTTCATGGCTACACATCAATTGTTGATTAATCACTTTCAGATTGACTTGAGAGAAGACCATGATTTGAAATCATAGTTGAGATCCCAATGTTATATTAAGTAGTTTCATAATAATTGAGAGTGTTTTAAATCATAGTTGACAACATTATTGAGAATGTTTTAAATCATGACAACATAACTGTGTGTGCTAGCAGAGGCGGAGCTAGGATTTGAAGCTTATGGGTTCGGCGTTGCAATCCTTTTAAGTTACTGGGTTCAAAATTATATATCTATACATATTCAATAGATTTTTTAAGATAAATACAAAGTATGAACAAAGTTACTGGGTTCGGCCGAACCCGCATCCGACGTTGTGGCTCCGCCCCTGTGTGCTAGATATGGTTCTGACACAACAATCTTTAATAATCTGAAATTACCAGTCAAAAAAATAAAAAATAAAAAATCATTGGTGATCTGAATTCTGTATGCATTAGTTTCTAGTTATCGGTCATGTTTTTGCAAGCAAAACAATATCTGGTGTTACATACTTAGCGATATGGTGCTTAATTTTTCACACTGTTGTGTTGTGTAACTGAGTGGCGAAAGTACCATTTTTGAATGCAGGCTCTAGAGTCAGAGTTAGCTGCCAAGGTTGCTTCTCTGCTTCAGCAGCGTGTTGCTTTATCAATGGAGAATAGAGAGCTAAAGCAACAGATGCTCAGACTTCAGCAGGAAAAAGTCATTGTTGATGGTCAGTTATTTATCGTTGGATCAATCAAGCAGTCCATAATATTTATTTGATATAGTTTATTTTACCAGCTACTTAACTGCTAATGATTTTCTTTTGCTTTCTTTTTTGTCTTTCCTGGACGACTTAAGTGCTGGAATTTAGTTGAACTCTATAATTGTTAAAGTCAATCAATTAACTGCTTTGTGTTCGTCTTAGTTTGTTTCTTATTTGCCTCAATTGTTCATGAGGTAGTAAAACACCAAAAGTTTCAAACGTTCTCCCTTTATCTGCCTTCTCTGACATTGGATTACAAAAACATTTCATTGAAAGACTATGAATGGATATATATTATAGCTGCCGAGATTCAAAATTTCCATTTGTAGTCAATTGCAATTCTTAGTTTGTATCATTGTTTTTGTCTTTCTTTCACTTAATATTGGTTGATGTACCAATGCTATTCCTTTATTTGGTGTCACTTGTGCACTCAAACTTTTTCTTGGTTCCTGCCTCTCAAAGCAGACATGATAGTTTAAAAGAAGGGGCGACTGATCTGATTTTATATTAAAACTCTATGCAGCCCAGTACAGGTCCCTGAGAAAAGAATTGGAAAGATTGAGATACTTAGCACATTCTCCCAACAGTAAGATGAACACCAAATTCAGGCTAAGTTCTGCTGCTGAGATCGGTTCGGAAACTGCTTGGCAGATGCTGGACTTTGGAAAACTGTATCTCAACTAAAGGAAGTTGATCTCTTTTGGCATATTTTTCTTCATTACAACATCCTCCCAAAATGCTTATGATGGAACTCCTTTAGACTTAAGCCTGTAAATCCTCTTTAGGATGTAGTATGTTCCAAATGGGAATGACACTTTTAGGGATTAGGACGATAACTGTGAATGTACTGCCTAATTGACTTCTTTTTTAATCCACTCTATGTGCCCCACATCCCTATCTATAAATATGAAAAAAGAAAAAGAAAATCTCTAAGTGGATCTTAAATTTGTCAGTACCACACCCGTGTTTTTAAGGTGCAAATTATGAGTACATCAGAATTGTCAGTACTGAAATAGGAAAGAACAATTTGTGTCCTGATTTTTGTATTGAATGCAAGACATCTGTGCAAGTATTGACTGTACGTGCAAATAACTATGTAGTGGATTCAACGTTAAGAACCTTATACGTCTCAACCTTATACGTCTCATGCTTGGCAATTGGATTGCTGCATCTCGAGGGCCATTATGGGAGATAAATCCAGTTGCATGAACTTGAGCACAAACAATTCGTCAAAATTCATTAGCAGGACTGCAGGATTAAGAACAATGATTTACCCGGTAGCAAATTTACACGCACAAAATCACATCGCCATTTTACCAGGTTTCGGCAAGGACGTTAAATACCTATTAAGATAGCCGAACATGGCACCGGCACCAAAATAGAGCATCTTGGAAGCAATTCCACAACCTATTTTATAGGAGAAAACCAGACACAGAAAGTAATCCGAAGTCCTAAATGTTGCAATGTGATTTCTTTTCTTTGTTGATGTAGGATAAGATACCGAATTGCATAATACAATCAAGTATTTTGTCCATTATTACAATGAATCACCACTAGTCATTTGGAAATGGCAATGAAATATATTCTGCACACTATGTTTACACCAGGATTTCCCCAACAAACAAAGAGTGATCCCAAAGAAGTTATCAACAGTATCCCACTCCTTTATTTAACCACGAATTGATGCACGAGGGACAGCAGGTAATCCTAGTTCATCATCAGCCTGTGCATCAGAAGTCAAAGAAAAATCATCAACACATCCATTTCACATGAAATAAGAAAGAACCCAACAAAACAAAAAGAAAACAGGAAAAAGATAAGCAATGGAGAGGGCAGGGAGAGGAGGCATAACCTTCCTTCTCAGACTGGGAAGACGTCATTTTCATACGAAAATGCAGGCTTTCCAAGTAGATAAATATAACTTCATTTTCATACGAAAAGATGCAGGCTCTAATATGCACGCAAATGTATACATGCATATAACTGACTATCTACGTACAGGTAGACTAATTACTATGCCATACAACATTTGTCTTTACCTGCGGGTTAGCTCTCCCAGCTGGCATGGGTGCATGCCCTGTTGGTGCTGATGGTAGGCTAAGCTCTGCATCCAAAGCGGGCTCAGGTTGAAGATATGAAGGGACACCTTCGCCTTCAGTGTCCATGTCGGCTTCCAGAGCATCAAGCTCTGCATAAAAATTGACAACTTTTAAATGCTCATCCTGACATATTTTTTACTTCTCTACATAAATATGTTGCTACTTAAGCTTACCACCCATGAGTTCTTCTTCATCAATGTCATCTGGCACGCTGTAGCTTCTACCAAGAGTCTCTTGAATTTCATTGCTCACATCCATCAGGTCCATCATTTCATCTTGCAGGTTCTAAATTTACGCATAATAATATCACAATTAACAACCACGACAAATTCGGAAAGGACTGAGGATAAATGCACAAGGATACTAAAACATACAACCACCACGAAGAATACATACATCTATATCATTAATCTTCACTGTCTTCATCATTCCTTTCAATTCCTTGTTTGCCGACTTCAAAGCTGACATCTGTTGGAACATAATCAAGTTAGTACTTGCAAATTCTACTGTATATAAATGAATCCAATTGTTCAATTGTTCCTTCAAACATCAAATCTCCAACATGGGATCGCGTAGGATATAGAAACTCTAGGTCACATAATGAAATCTGTTCATCGTGATAAATAAGTCTACCTCTAGAGGTAGGCACTGTTCACCTGATAAGCCTTGAGCTGTGACCAGTGGGCCGCCATCAAGAAAAAATACACTTTACCATGAATTGATATAGCCCAAAAGTTCGACATTATTAACCTTAGTGACTTGAAAAACCTAATAATTATTGACCCAGGATGACCATGAGTTAAATAGACTAAAATCGTATTCCTTCATTTACACAAATAACATTCACTTGATATACTCATCACTGAATCAGAGTTGTGAGTAACGCGCTAACTCAAGAAACCAAGATTTTTCAATCAAATGGATTGGGGTAAAGAAAATGATTCTCCCATCAACATGTATGTTCCTTTTGAAATGAATGTTAAGATTTGAATATCAATTAAGTACTCAAATTTCAAACAAAAAAAGGGCTAAATGAGGCTTGCAGAGACTTGGATTATCAGAACTAACAATAGACAAGTATCCCACAGGTGTAATCATATAATAGTTTTTTTAAGAGTTTAACCTTTATACACCAAAAAAGATAATTACAGGTAGCTGCCCATTTTGAGTTACGCAATTCATAAACAAAATGGGAGAAAACTAGGTATCTGAAAAAAGTAATAGTAAAGAAAAAGAGCATAAACTCCATTTAACATACTGTTTGCTGAGCATCTTTGATTCCTTCAGCAGCAAATGAAACTTGATCTAGGTTGTACGTCTGATTGTAGAGCATGTCACGTTGACCTTCATACCTGTTGAATATTCAACAAAATATATCATGCATTCTAAACAATAGATAAAAATAAAAACTATAAGCTTGTCAAACAAGCAAAAAATATTTTCTCCCAAATTGGAAGAACTATCCAACCTGAAAAAAAGAAAATATCTACCCTAAACAAGAAAGCAAAACGTAGAGAAATGTATTAAGGTAAACAGAACATTCACCATCATTAGTGGGCCATCTACTTTTGCTTCATATGAAATCCAGGTGGAGTTAATAGAGTAATCACCTTTAGCTTAAGAAGTCAGACTTTTTTCCTTCTCCTTTTTTTAAATTTTAAAATTCTTTTAGTGGATTGCAAATTGGTGAGTTTCCAAAGTCGGAACTGTTACAAGGACCAGTTCTTGTTTCATTTAATTTTCTTTTTTTGGACGAAGTAACAACAAACCCTTTCAAGAACTAGCCCTTGTGAGAAAAGCTGTCAAAAGTGACTAACACAATGTTTTTCTTCCTCGTAATATGGTTACATCAATGTACCCACACAAATGTATTTTCTCAGTTCTTTCAGCACTTTATTCTCTGTGTTTATACAGCTCACTTATCCCAGAACCTAAATGTTACTTGACCTCTAATGCAACTATACACCTGCCCACAAAGCAGTCAATTTGAAGCTCAACAGCCGCTTTAAACCTCACCGTACTCTTAAATAAAATAGAGGATAGACTCACATTCTTTTCTGCTTCAATACCCTCATTGCTCGAGCTTTTACAGCTTCCTGAGCTGGACCTGGCCGGGTCTTCTTCAGCTGTTCCTTGTATCTCGCAAGTTCAGCATCAAGCTTCTTGATTTTCTCCTCAACGGTGTCACCTCTTTTATTGATCTGGACATATAAGAACCGATAAATCAGAAATCTGATGCAAAGCACGAGCACAACTTATTATTACCGGAAAAGATTGTTTTATCAGGTAATGAATACACTATAAGCATTCCCCTGGTAAAATGCGTTCAAAAGGAAAATAGAAAATACAGAACAGAGAAGGCCACTAGCTCTCAGAAAGATACACATCATTCATCTCATCCAAGACATAACGAATTCGATGGACAAATACGCATGCATGAGAGATCAAAGGGCTTGTTCGAAGGAAATAGGAAAAAATTGTTAGTCTAACTTTAACCGAAAATGAAAAAACAACCATATCTGCATGAAAGCAATAAGTTTGACAGTACAACCAGTTTAGAAATGACTTTGGTATGAAACGTCGCGCATGCTAGCTCACGAAATACAACGGCCCACAAGTTGAAGAAGAAACAAGCACAATGCTTACCCAACACCAAATAGATAACCATTGAAAAGCACAATACTCTTAGCCTGTTTGACCAAGCATCCAAAATCTGCTTCCTTTGAAAAGTGCTTTTTCCAATAATTGTTTTTTGAAAAAGTACTTTTGGAGAACAACAGTTTATTTTTTGACTAATCAATTTGAAAAGCAGTTTCTCAAATATTAAAGCAGCAATTTGTGCTCGGCCAAGTTTTCAAAAGTGCTTCTAGGGAAAAACTACCTTTTTAGCTTCTGAAAAATAGCTTCTGCTACTTGTTAAAAGCACTTATATTTTTCCTAAAAGCTTGGTCAAACACCCTAACTCTCCAAAATAAGCACTTTTAGCTTCCTAGAAGCTTGGCCAAACATGCTATCTGCCTGTACCGTGATTAGATTATATGAATGTGAAGAAACCTTCTTGTGCACCCAGTTAAAGGAGTATAGCATTCATATACCTCTGTGAACATATACATATACCTTTGAGCAATACTTGGGCAAGTGTCTGACAAAAAATTTGCAAAACTAAAAACAACCGCAATACATTGAAGCACCAACAAGCAAATTAAATTGAATAAACCAATTTTGTGCAAATACCATTAAATGCATGATACGTGTTATTCTTTTTTGCTCAAGATGTTATCACTTAAATCGTGGGTTAAATTAAATTAAATTTTGTTTTGCACATGATGTTAAGCAAAAGTATACCAAGCTTGTTTAGAATTAGTTAAACTTGGTGTATATGTATATGCCTGGCTAAGTTTTTGTATTATATCACCTATATATATATGATTGTGAATCGGTCTAATTAGGTCAATCCAATTATCAAAACTTGCAAAACAAGTTTTCCATATCCTTATCGTAAAACAGATACTATATTATAACAATTAACGACTGCATTGGAGTAGTTAAGGAGTTTAGGTACGATACCCGATCGGAAGCGTCTTGAATGGAGGGAGGAGGTTCTGTTTGTTTCTTAACACCGAAAACTCTCCTCATCTTTCTACAACCTTCTTCTCCTTCGTCGGCGGCTCTGCTGTGATGAGATTTAGGGTTTTCGAGGTTTTCGATTGAATTGGGAAAACGGGAGATCGAGTAGAGAAACGCGTATGTAAGAATGGGAGAGAGAAATTGCTGGATTGGGATTTGGGAGGAGATGTTGAATTTGTACTTTGCGCGGATTAGATGATTTAGCTGAAGAAGTTTCTGGGACGAAGTTTCAGAGAAAATCAGTTTGAGTCGTTGATTTGGGGGAATCTTGTTCGTAGCTATTGCACGTGTTTATCACGTGTAATTAGGGCTGGGTCCCGTGGGTCCCAATTCTAATACTCCTGTTGTACTTTCTATTTGTCGTTTAAGATCTTATCTCTGACGAAGTAGTTAATGATCACTCTATGACTTCAAGAATAAGATAGTGAAATTGGAAAAAATAATTAACGTCTTTTTTCTTGAAGGCATAATTGAACCTAATTTATTTGCTAAAGTGACAATTTAAAAGGATCGAAGGGAATAATTTCCAACTTCTTGCCTCATTCTTTTTGGATAACTTTGTTCACCATAATATTGAATTTGAACATTCACCATTCATGATTTTCACTCATTTCATTAATTACCAAACCATGTTCTTAAATGCAACTTCAAATTATTTCTTATAAGATTAGATTATGATTTAATTGTTTCCATTCAATTAAAAGATTTTTAACCCAAATGCCCTTTTTACTATAGTTTAGCTCCATTTGAATCTATTTCATTTTGATATTCAATACCTGGATATTCTTTTTTCATTAAAAGTTCTCTAAAAGAAGAAAAGAAAAAACTTGTCGACTATTTTTGTTTTTTGAAAAAAGTTGTTTATACTATACAAATAATTTCTGATAAATTAAAGGGGTAGCCTATTCTTCCAAAAAAAAAAATGATTCTCTTTTATGATGCTTTAGAACTCAAAATCCATAAAATTCGTTTGGAAGGGAAGGGAATTATGTTGCAGCAGCAGGTTAAGGCCTAAGGGAAGGGAAGAAGTAGGAACATTTGGCTACACAGCCAAACACTCTTTTATAATATATAGTAGTGACAAAATGGATAAAAGAAAACAGTTATTCACCCATATTATCCACTATAAAATGAGTTGGATAATGAACTTTTTTAAAAACGCATTAAATATGGATAAGAACCATATTATCCACTTAAAAAATTTATAAGCAATGGATAACTAATGAGTTAAATTTTTACATTTGTAAAGCCTCAAATTGAGGATTTCTCAAGTTTGGTAGACTAAGAATTCTCTCAAGAAGTCATGGATAAAATGAACATCCATATTATCTGCCGATTAACTAATTTTTTATCCGTATTAAATATGGGTCAGGTCAGATAATTTATTCGTTTTTGCATTATCCGTATATCTTACCCGACCAGCCCGTTTGCCACCCCTAATAACATCCAGTGTTTTAAAAGGCGTGGGCGTAAGGCGAGGCATTTTACATATGCCTCAGCGAGGCGTAAGCCCCGAGGCACGGGGCGTACGCCTCTTGAGACTTTCGCCCCACACCATCGCCCCGGGGCGTTTTTGGTACGCCTCGCCCCAGGACTCGCCCCAAAAACGCCTTTTAAAACACTAAATTAACATCCAACACAAAAATCACAAGAGGAGACAGATCGGTTAGAAGAACCATCTAACTGAATACAAAAACACTTAAAAAGAACAATTATCAAGCTCAAAACAACATTAAATGCTTAAAAGAAGAAGCAAAAGGTTTCTTTGTCTTGTGTTCAGAGGATCCAAGATTTAAACAGTTCAACCTTAAAAGGTTCTTGGACTAAATTCATTTTATGGAATCATGCGTTCAAAAATTATGTTTGATAAATTTTAGTGATTTTTCATATTTTTGTCTCGTGCCGAAAATACTAAATTAAGTTGAACTCATTGTAAAAAATGCTGCATCCCCCTGGCTGTGTTAGAACCTCGAAGTTCAAAAGATTATGTGCCAACAGAGGTGGATCCAGGATTTGAACTTTTTAGGTTCAGATATGGAATTCTATCGCATCGCATCTAATTTAATGGTTCAAAATATATTATTTATACATATTTAATAAATTTTTAAATAAATATATAGGGTTTGAGCGGAAGTTATGAACCCATAGCTTCTATACTAGATACGCCCGTGTGCCAACCTGGAAAATGTAAAAATACTCCTGAGTTTTTGTGTAGCATGTCAATTTTTGAAGCTACTGCTAAGGAAACTATGTTGCAGAACCACGATTGAAAGAGAAGAACACTCTTGTATAAGGTTGAAAACCAAAATCAAACGAGATAAGAACAATTAGAAGAACCATCTAACTTAACAAACAAATATCAAACCATTTAACTTTTACAGCACACATATTTCCAGATATAGGAGACAACTAAACATCAGGCTGTAGACCAAGTCCCTTCCGCGTCTTTCCAACAAAGAGATCCCCAGATTTTATCATGCCTGGAACGCGTCCAGCAATTGACAAACAAGGAAATTGGGCCACTGCTTCTTTTCTCCCTAGAGAAACTATAGCTAATGCCTTAGTGGCTGGCTTATACACAGCCAATTTGTGATCATCTTCTACTCCCTTTATTGACAAGGTGATGTTCTTGGCAACTACCTTTGCATGTTCTTGAGCCAAATATCCTTGTTTAAGTTCCTGAATTTCACCATCACAATGTAAGGATGTCTTGCAGATAAAAATGCATCTTATGGCATAAGAGCTAATACGATCTGTTGGAGCTTTTATTGGTCTAATAGTTATCCAGTTGCATATATAATATTAGCCACGTCTAGTTACTAGCATGGGCTTTTCTATACGAGGAGAAGAAGGAAAAGTAACAATGAACAAATAGCTGCAGCTATATTAGCAAGCAGTTAAAGTTAATACTGAAATGCATCGGAGATGGCGATACTTCCATCATGTTTCCTAAAGTTGCGATTCAAGTACATAAGTAGCATTAGCAGATACCACAATAGATTTGACATCTTGTTAGCTCTATAAACACCATATACAAATATAGGCAAGTCGTGTTATGATGACAAAAGTGGACATACAACACTCTTTTTCTTTCTCTTTTTTTCCTAAAATAAGGGAAAATGGAGATTCAGAATAGAAAGAGCTTACTAGTAATTCATCATTTATTACTGCTACAATCTCAGAAAAAGTAAATCGTTGAAGTTCTAGTGCCAGGCCTTGGCTATGACTATGAAGAAGGGGAATCGGGAACAGAGGATGCATAGACAGAAGTTCTTGAATAGTTGTTGAAGTATACTTTTTCATATTTGTCATGGAGAGGGGCACTAACATCTAAAGCTTTACTGGGATGACACCAAGGTTTACAAAGATTATAGAAGGTTTGATCGACTTACCGGAATATCAGTGATGTCCCCAATAGCAAAGATATTGTTGTGACCCTTGATCCTCAAATTTGAATCAACCATTAGCCTTCCACGACTGTCCAAACTATCCTTCAAGAAAGTTTCTTTTAGCCATGCTGAACCAAATGGTGTACCGATGCAAATAAAATGGCAATCAGCAACTATGGTTTCTCCACCCGATGTTTTGTAAACACCATCTGATGCAGAGTTTACATCGACAGATTGTCCCAAGATGACTTCAACTTTCTTTGAAGTAAGCCAATTCAGTGCCTTTTTGCTGGCGCTTTCTCCAACAAATTCTAACAATCTTGATCCCCTGTGCACCAGCGTCACCTTCTTAGCAGGAAAATCAGCAGCAATTTCAGCAGCCAGCTCCACACCTGTTGGCCCCCCTCCAACTATTAATATGGAGTCAGCAGCCTTTATCTTTTCATACTCTGTAAACCAAGAAATAAGAGTTAAGACAAGTTATATATACCATGAAACATGTGCAGTTTTAGCCTGGTCTACTGAACAATGGAAAGCTTGATTTGTATTACTCAACTCTTCCGTGACAATTCAGTCGTTCATAGGTAAGTATTGATCCTCCTTTCCGGAGCACTATCATTCTCTTTATTTTCTTTTCTTGATAACGTAATACTTTAGTGTTGTGGATTTAAGTCAAGTATACAAGTCGTATACTTGACTTTAAAAAAAAGTGGTATACAATATAACATCCAGCCAGCCGTGCTAACACAACGGAGCTAAGAATTTCTTTTAGCCTCTGTAGGCTGATAGGCTCCAAAACAGAAAAACGAAAATTGTGATTCACTTTTCTCTTTGTTCTTTTTTTTTTCCCATATGCCTTAGCCCCCTTCTCAAAGTTCTCTACTATTATATAGTTTTTGAAGTTATGCAAATCTGCTAATAACTTGTTGAAGATAAAATGCACATCTATAATATAGGTAAAATGTCAATCTAAAAGAACGGAATTGCGTATGTTCAAAACTATGATATGGTAAGCAAGACAACTTGTCAGTGAAGTGATGGCAATACATCACCATTTGAGTCTTCAATAACCTATCAGAAAACCCTCGATCTCCTTAAGATTAGTGTCTTAAGATAAAACTAGTAACACAAAAAGTAACCACATTGAATGAGATTGAACCAATACCTGCTTGGTATTGACTGATCTTCTCAGTTTTCGTCGAAGCACCACCTTGTGTATGACCAGTGGCAACAACAACATAGTCATACCGAATCCGGCTGCCTTGGGCTGTCAAAACATCAGTTTCTGTGATGTCAACTGCAGCTGATGTAATGATTTTGGCATGAGGAAGGTATTCAGAGTGAGAAATCACTGATCTTTTAGCAAATGAAGGTTCAACCATAGACCTTAAGCTTGCCCATGTGATCTCAAAATACTCTTTCCTGCACTCATTTCATGCATTGAGTTAAATTAAACACAACAAATCAACAAGAAACAAATTCAAACAAGTAGTCATGATAAAAATCGGAAGTAGAGCCTTGGCGTAACTGATAAAGTTGTTGTCACATGACCAGGAGGTCACGGATTTAAACCGTGAAAACAGCCTCTAGCAAAAATGCAGGCTAAGGCTGCGTAAAATAGACCCTCGTGGTCCGGCCCTTCCCGGACAGCTTAGTACACCGGACTGTCCTCAGTCATGATAAAAATCAAGAATTTTGAAAGAATCAACCACTAAACCACTAACAAAGCTAAAACCTTTGCAAATTCACATTGATTTACAAGCTAAGAAAAATCAATAAAGAGTGAGAGAAATGCTTACTCATCAATTAATGAAACATTAGCTTCATTTTGAAGGGTTTTAGCAACAAGGGAACCACCAATTCCACCTCCAATCACTACCACATTTGTCTTTTCTCCCCCTTCAGCCATGTTCATATCCAAATTCCAAAGAAAAATCACAACTTTATGAAATAAAATCAAGAAATAGTAGGCCCAGTTGCCCTTAATACAAAACAAAGCTGTACCCAAATTGTATTACTGAATAATTTGCAATTTAATTTTGTAGGGAGAACAGAACATCAAATATCCTCTTATATAAAAGAAAAATTGGGTGTGAAATAAAAATGGGGAAACAAAAAAAAAAGGTATCTAGAAGGTCAAGAAATGCAGAAAGTCTAAAACCCGAGTTCTAGAACAAGAAAATGAAGAGGAAGATTCCTGGCTTTCCTCTTGTTAATTTGAAGAAGAATTAACGCCAAACAGATTTCTTTTTAATTTTTTAATGCTAGCTTGGGGGAAGGGAAAGGAAGAGGAAAAGGAGAAATTGTTCTAAATTCTCCGTTCCTTTTTTATATTGTAAAATATAAAACCGACAAGGTAGATGAAGAATTTAAAGAGTTCTTTGTTTCTCTCCTCTCTTTACTTTGTCCCAGGACTAGATTCAGACAGACCAATATAAATACTTTCGACTGGATGTGTTTCTCAATCACGCTGACACAGATGACACGTAAGATGCTGGCCTTTTATTATATGTGAGTGCCACTCTTTTTTTTTTAAGCTCTTTTTCTCAAATTAGTTGTCATATTCGCTTCTGGTCAAAATCATTGACTAATGTTCGAAATTAATTGAATAAGATTAATTTAATATTTTAAAACTAAAATTGTAATATTTAAAAATATACAAAAGTGTTTACCCGAAAAATCGGATAGAGTTAAATTTGTGTATGGTTCTAAGGACACGTGATATAACTTGATACAAATTGTAGAGTGAAATATAAATATCTCTATTCTTGACAAATGGAATGAAATATAAGACAGAGAAAAGAAAATGTTGACGAACAAGGTAGCGTGGTCCCCCTTAAATGTGTTAGCATCTCCTCTTATATTAGAGGCATCCTACTTTATCAATAATAATAAAAATATATAGTGGAAATAATAATAAAAATATATAGTGGAGGACCCACGATGAATTGTCTTTTCCTCAATTTCCGTCAAGATTCTCTCAAAGTGCGGTTGCAACGGCTCTTGTCTGTGAGCTCAATACTAGCTTGAGCTCGGTATTGGATCAAGCCCTCAGCCTTGGTTCGAGCTCGATTCTGACTTGGGGTCTCGATATTCAGGGTGAGTGTTGGTCGGTCTATGCATCTTCGATAATCTCCGTTTTGCCTCGTAATTCGATTTGGATATGAGCTCGATAATGATACCGAGCTTATCATTGATCAGTCTTAGAGCATGAAGCTCGACGCCCTTACTTCGGATCTCGACCGAGCTTGTCATGCAGATACCCTTTGATCGAAACATTATGGTCTCGACCAGTCCGTACGACTGACTCAATCGGTTTTGACCGTACACAGATAGTCCCCTCGTTTCTCGAAAAAGGATGTGGCGAGAAACAATATGATTTCCCAACAGCTTGATCAGATATATGCTGACGTTTACATCGATCCCGACCATGACGTATGTGATAGTTATCCCATCGATTTGATTTTACCAAGGCATTTGATGTGTGTCAGACGGTGGTTGGCCATCGCTGATATTGAACCGTCATTGCTTCAATCTATAAATAGCCTTTCCTTCCACCATTCATCACTTTTACGTCTTCAATATTCCAAATTTTCTAAGTTCTATTTCGTCTTTTCTGAGTTTTCTGCCTGCAAATCTGTGAGTTTTACTGCAAACTCTTTCTTAAAACACCAAATACTCCCGTTCTTTGTTCACGGAATTTTAAATGGCAAAAACGTCTAAAATTATTCCGTAAAAAGAGACCGCTTCTTCATCTCGACCTGCTGATGGCGAGGATGTGGAAGTGCCCCACTCTGAGGAATTCATTCCGGTAGGGTGTTCGACTGTAGGTAATTTTAAAATTGAAAAGCCTTCTCCGATACCGGGTCGGTGTAAGCCGATGTCGAGGTACCAATGTTCAATTACCGAAAATGTTCTCGATAAAGTCATACAAGAATGCAACTGGGATAATAAACTCGTAGTAGTTCCATCGCCTGATGAACCAATTACTACCCACGTCGAAGGGATCTTAAGTGTTTATACTTATCCTTTCACGTTGGGACCTCTAGACCCTGTCATTGTTGCCTTTTGGAAGAGGTACGATGTGACCCTCGGCCAAATCCACCCTTCCTTTTGGAGGATAGTGATTCTTCTTCGATTTTTCTCGAGCAAGGTCGAGGGGCGTATCTTCACCCTCGATCATCTTATGCGCTTTTACAGTCCCCGACTTAATCGAGGAGGGTTGATTAAGCTTGCTCGCCGAGCAACCAAGGCGCCATTCTCAAGCATAGACGAGACTCGGGATCGGGGTTGGATGGGCCGTTTTGTTCGAATCAAAACCTCGGACCTGATCCCTACCTATGGCTTGCCATTTCACGAGAAATGGAATATGAGCCGTGAGTAAACGTTTCTCTTTGCCCGTTTTGATTTTGTGATTGCCTTTTATTTTGTTGATCTATTTTTCTTTTCTTGTCATAGCCATAGCTCGAATGCGGGAACCGATCCTGGATCTTAAACAATGGGTCGAAAGTCTGGTGTTGCAGAGACCGTACTCCGAGCGTGCTTGGGTCGAATTATGAAAGGGTCAATGGGAGGCCCGCATCCATGGTAAATCTTTTTGTCGATTTGTCTCTCCATCGGTTTATATGGTAAATCTCCATTTTCCCTTTTGTAGGACTCGGGAAAGATGTAGTCATGAGGCCCCTATCTGGTGGCGAATAAGTTCCTGCCCTGAAGCAGGTAAAAGAAAGGAAGAGAAAAGACGTATCGGGCTCCCCGAGCTCGGAAAAGAAGAAACCGGCTAAGAGATCTCGAAAGCCGAAGGGGGGCTCTGGTGTTATGTCTTCGGAAGTGGCCCGCCATTTAAGGGACGAGCCCAAAGAAGGAGAGGAGAATTTAGCCTGTGTACGGGCTAATGTTATGATTCAACAGTCTTCCAATTTGGTGGAAGCAAATCAGGGAACCTTGGCCATAATCCCAGAACAAGAAGAAGCTGAGATCATCCCTTCTCGAGCTAAGATGATTGAAAGGGATACCGAGGGTGGATCTTCTCGGGAAGTAGAAGATATTTCAAGGGATGAGTTTGGGATAGTTGACATTGGCGGATCCCCTCAGATTTCAGATGCCATGATTTGAGAGGCCGTCATGTTGGAGGATCGGTCCTATGAGGGTATTCAAGAGTCGGCCGATATCCATGGTTTTCTGTAGGGGCTCGAGTCAGGTGCCTCGGAGAAGGTTACCGGTTTTGGTGGAATGCCGGTACCCCAAAAAGCGTAGTGGTCGGGTTCTACCAGCCTTCATTGATTCATAAACTGGTGGACCGATTTTCGGCCTCGAGTATCGATCCCGACCGAAGGTGAAAGATAGTGCTCTTCGTACCTGCGGATACCCGAATTTTTTATTCTCCTGTGAGGATTGCCAGTTACCTTCGGTCCTTGATGACCGAAGAAGATCAATAAGTAATGAATGCGGTGGTGCCTGCCTGTCTCTTCAACGAGGCCCAACATGCTTTGAATCAAATAACTCTGATAGCGTTTTTGCCGCTTCTTTTACACATAGAGTTGTAGGTAATTCTAATATTTCTCCTTTTGTTTGTAGGCTTCGGTGTTGCATCACAAGGCCTTTCTTCGAATCCAGGAGGAGCATGATGTCGAGGTTCGGAGCCTCACTGAGAAGAGTGACTCGTACAAGCTCCTTAGTGAAAAACTTCGAGCAGATTTGACAGCGGCTCGGGAAGAGCATGAGGAGATGGTTGAGCAGGTATTCTGAATGTTCCATGATAGTGAAGATGAAAAAGAGATAACCACTAACGATCTGAATCTGCAGGTTTGGCAGAGGATCGAGCAGATTGGATGGCTTAACTAACAGGTAGATGCGCTACTGGACGAGGCAGAAGAATTTAAAAAGTATATGGATATCCTTGCCTCGAAAAAGGAAGTTGTTCAAGCTCAGTTGGAGTTGTCTGATGCCCAGCTTCGATCTGCGAAAGAAAATGCTTTGGGGCTGATAGAAAAGATTAAAGAGCTTCAGCATCGGTTGAATTTGGCCACTTTAGATAAAGCAGATTTGGCTAAAGAACTTGAAGGGGCCAGATCTGAGGTGATCGAGGCCAATAAAAGAGCTGATGCCAAAGTGGCTCAGTTCAGGATCGATGTCGAGGTTAACCAAGCCAAGGCCGAGAGCATGGTCAAACATGCAAAATGGCAAGCTCGGAGAGAAGCTCTCGAGGAGGTCAGAGCTCAGGGCTTCGATATTGGGGTCGAGATTGAAGTCGCCAGGGCGGAGGAGAACAAAGCTCGAAAGTTGGCCTTTCCTGAGGAGGACTCCGATGACTCGGGGGAGTCTGAAGATGAGGACGATGCGGAGAATACGGCCTCCAATGAATATTGAGTCATTTAGGGCCTTAGGTCATTTGCTACGTTCTTTTGATACCGCTTTTGGTTTTTGTATAAAGAACTTTCTTTTGGAGCAAAATAGCCTTTCAAGCTAAATAGATAGTTTGAATTTTAATCTTTGTTACCTTCGGTCCTTGTGGGTAGTCCCCTTTGCTTTATCAGGCTCGAACATATTTCAGCCTTAGATAGTCAAGTGTTCGTTTGAATTCGAAGAAATGAGTAATTTTACTTGAAGTAATGTAGCCCGTAGGCGTAATGGTCGAGTGAGTGCTTGCTCGAACTCGAAATAAAAGTAGCCCGTAGGCTTAGTGAATGATTCGAACTCGATGCAATGTAGCCCGTAGGCGTAATGGTCGAGTGAGTGCTTGCTCGAACTCGAAATAAAAGTAGCCCGTAGGCGTAATTGTGTAGTGAGTGCTTGCTCGAACTCGAAATAAAAGTAGCCCGTAGGCGTAATGGTCGAGTGAGTGCTTGCTCGAACTCGAAATAAAAGTAGCCCGTAGGCTTAGTAGTCGAGTGATTGATTCGAACTTGATGTAATGTAGCCCGTAGGCGTAATGGTCGAGTGAGTGCTTTCTCGAACTCGAAATAAAAGTAGCATGTAGGCTTATTAGTCGAGTAAATGATTCGAACTCGATATAATGTAGCCTGTAGGCGTAATGGTCGAGTAAGTGCTTGCTCGAACTAGAAATAAAAGTAGCCCATAGGCTTAGCGGTCGAGTGAATGATTCGAACTCGATATAATGTAGCCTGTAGGCGTAATGGTCGAGTGAGTGCTTGTTCGAACTCGAAATAAAAGTAGCCCGTAGGCTTAGCGGTCGAGTGAATGATTCGAACTCGATATAATGTAGCCTGTAGGCGTAATGGTCGAGTGAGTGCTTGTTCGAACTCGAAATAAAAGTAGCCCGTAGGCTTAGCGGTCGAGTGAATGATTCGAACTCGATGTAATGTAGCTCGTAGGCTTAGTAGTCGAGTGAATGATTCGAACTCAATATAATGTAGCCCGTAGGCGTAATGGTCGAGTGAGTGCTTGCTCTAACTCGAAATAAAAGTAGCCCGTAGGCTTAGCGGCTGAGTGAATGATTCGAACTCGATGTAATGTAGCTCGTAGGCTTAGTAGTCGAGTGAATGATTCGAACTCAATATAATGTAGCCCGTAGGCGTAATGGTCGAGTGAGTGCTTGCTCTAACTCGAAATAAAAGTAGCCCGTAGGCTTAGCGGCTGAGTGAATGATTCGAACTCGATGTAATGTAGCCCGTAGGCATAATGGTCGAGTGAGTGCTTGCTCGAACTCGAAATAAAAGTAGCATGTAGGCTTAGCGGTCGAGTGAATGATTCAAACTCGATATAATGTAGCCCGTAGGCATAATGGTCGAGTGAGTGCTTGCTCGAACTCGAAATAAAAGTAGCCAGTAAGCTTAGTGATCGAGTGAGTGCTTGCTCGAACTCGATCCTGTTTGCATAATAAATCTTGAATATAGGATATCGGTAAAGAAGAGGGCTTTCTTTGCAAGCCATTATACATGTGTTCATGTCTTGCGTCAGGGCTCGGGCCAACTACATAAGCATGGTTCGTTTTGACCATTTGGCTCTTACAACGTTTCCTGTCGAGACACTGTTTGTCATGAAATAACGAAGTAACTTCCTTTGCACCGAACTTGATAATCATCACAGATACGTTTAATGATAAAGCCCCCCAGTATACGAGGTTGATTTTAAAGAGGCCTCGGATACTCAGCAGTAGTATCGTTTTAGGCGTTACACATTCCAATTGCTTGGTAGTTGATTGCCATTTTATCAGACCGGGTTTGGAGGATTTCCTTAGTAGTTCTTTTAGTAACGGACCTAGAAATCAACTGGTCATATTCGACTCTTATTTTGGATTGATATTGATTGTGCACATCGGTCCAAGTAATAGTTGGGTACTCGATCAGATTTTGCTTCAGCCGCCGTGAAGCCATCGAGCTTCGCTCGTTTAGACCTTGAGTGAAATCTTGAACATCCCAATCGTCTGTGACTGGTGGTAGATCCATTCGTTCCATTTGAAAATGAGATACGAACTCCCTTAGCATCTCGTTATCCTTTTGTATTACCTTGAACATGTCCGACTTTCTGGTCTCGACCTTTATGGCTCCGACATGTGCTTTTACGAAATAATCTGCAAGCATAGCAAAAGAATCAATAGAGTTAGATGGTAAATTATTATACCATACCATTGCCCCCTTTGACAGGGTTTCACCGAATTTTTTTAATAATACAGATGCAATCTCATCATCTTCCAAATCATTGCCCTTGATGGCACACGTGTAAGAAGTGACGTGCTCGTTGGGGTCGGTCGTTCCGTTATATTTGGGGATTTCGGGCATACGGAATTTTTTAGGGATTGGTTTTGGGGCCGCGCTCGAGGAAAAAGGTTTTTGCACGAATTCTTTGGAATCCAACCCTTTTATCATTGGTGGAGCCCCCGGGATCTGATCGACCCTAGAGTTATATGTTTCTACTTTTTTATCGTTGGCTTAGACTCGCTTTGTGAGTTCCTCGAGCAATTTAGCAATTTCGGGAGTAGTCCCCGATTCTTGCTCATTTGACTTCACTATGGCTGGCTCCGTTCTGTGGGTGATTTCTCGAGGAGGATTGGGCTCCGGCCTGCTTTGTAGCTGCGTTTGGCTTTGCAACTGAGCTATTGCTGCCTGTTGGGCTTGCAACATTTAAAAAATCATACGCAAGCTAACGCCGTTTTCCTCGACGTTATGGGTATCTCGAGTTGCAGACCGAGTTCCACCATGAATGCTATTTTCGGGTTCAGCATGTAGATTCGCCTCAATGGCTACATGCGAATTGATATCTATCGACGCTCCGATTCGAGCTCCAACGGCGTTTACAAGTGGTCTTTCGATACTGGGTGTCAAGTTATTGTTTTCATCTTGAAGACCGGCTCAATTGTCAATTGGTGAAGCCATTTGATTGATAGTTAGTCGTTGCTAATCCGAAATTCAAGATATTTTCGGAAACAAGCGTAGAACACAATGGCATATTTTTCAGATTCGTATCAAATAACCATTGTTATCCTTAGCCTCACTGTGGGGCGCCAAACTATTTACCCGAAAAATCGGATAGAGTTAAATTTATGTATGGTTCTAAGGACACGTGATATAACTTGATACAAATTGTAGAGTGAAATGTAAATATCTCTATTCTTGGCAAATGGAATAAAATATAAGAGAGAGAGAGAAAAGGAAAATGTTGATGAACAAGGTAACATGGTCCCCCTTAAATGTGTTAACATCCCCCTCTTATATTAGAGGCATCCTACTTTATCTATAATAATAAAAATATATAGTGGAGGACCTACGATGAATTGTATTTTTCTCGATTTCCGCCAAGATTCTCTCCCATAGTGCGGTTGCAACGGTTCTTGTCTGCAAGCTCGATACTGGCTTGAGCTCGGTATTGGATCGAGCTCTCGGCCTTGGTTCGAGCTCGATTCTGACTTGGGGTCTCGATATTCGGGGTAAGTGTTGGTCGGTCTATGCATCTTCGATAATCTCCGCTTTGCCTCGTAGTTCGATTTGGATATGAGCTTGATAATGATACCGAGCTTGTCATTGATTGGTCTTAGAGCTCGAAGCTCGACGCCCTTACTTCGGACCTCGACCGAGCTTGTCATGCAAATACCCTTTGACCGAAACATTATCGTCTCGATCAATCCGTACGACTGACTCAATCGGTTTTGACCGTACACAAAAAGTATTATAACAAGTTATAATTTTTTTACATGTTATATGATTAAAAAAATACTTCCTCCTTCCCATTTTAACTATCGCTTTAGCTCAAAAAAAATTGTTAATTTTTTTCAACCATACTATTTAGTGGTAAGTTTTTTTAAAATATTATTTAATTTTCAAAAAACATTTAAAAAATAACTTAGTAAATTAAACCTTATATTTATTATTTTCTAATTTCTCACCTCATAATTTCCTAATTTCCCCTCCTGCACGCCTGATGTAACAAAAGAAAATTAGAAAAAGAGAAATCTTAGTAGATTAGTTAATATGTAACAAAAAAAAAAGAAACTTAATGTCTCAATTGGTTAACTACCTACACTTTTACCTTGTTAGTGAGGATTTGATTCCCTTACTTCTTGTGAAAAAAGAATTAAAATATCATAATAAAACATTGCGTCGACACAATTTGAATCATTTTGGTAAATAACCTTAATACGCTGAATTGTTTTAAGTATAAAATACTTCTCCCTGGTACCAATTTTTTAGAGCAAAGTAGTGTTACATAATCATAATGAAATGCATGACCAACACAACTTAAACAAGAGGTCGAATTATATTAACTAGTTTATCTATATCCAGGTGGGAAGGCTTCTCTTTTAGCCAAATTACCAATTACAATTTACAACATAAAGATAAATCATAAAGTCCAACAACTTGAGAAACAATTATCACGTATTTATTTTACACGAAGATTCAGAAAATTACACACCCATATTTTACATGTGTACAGCAAATTAGAAGAATCAGAACCATGTAACATTGTTGCTTCTTTCCAGGTTCCCTTAAGTTGCTTTGAGGTGTAACAACTTAAATGTAAGAAATGAGCATCATGGGCACTTTTAATCAGCAGTATTTCACATCTTTGACCGAATACGATTAAGAGTCGCCTGAATTGTTCCATGCGGTTCATCCGTCGGCAAATAAACATCATTATCAAACTGAAAGGTCACCAACGGATTAAATATTAGCCACTGATTCAAGCTCAAAAGAACATGATCAGAGGTATATAGTTCTCAAGAAGATCAACTTAATAATGGCATAACTTTATGACTGAATGAATGCAGTGCAGCAATAAAACTTGAAATTTTCAATCAACTGGATAATACATGATTAAGGATATGTAACTCGAGAATCATTTACGCGGGATCGAACTGTACCCACCGCTTTAGCTTCTCTTCTTTCAAACTTTTCCAATACATGTTGATACTG